GCCAGTTCTGCATTGAGTGTGATTTATCTGACATTAGGACTGAAAAAAATTACAAGACGGAAATTTATACTGTCTTAAAAAATTCTGTATTCAAATTTTGCTTGTACATGGATTTACAGGCATTTTGAAGCACTGTTAGTCGGCAGGCGGGGGAGGGGTGTGGTGGCGCATAATTTAGCTAATTAAGCCAAAACCATTAAAATGCAAGAATTGCCAAGCATTATACATAGTTATTTTAGTTGCCTGTTATTCTAAGGTCTTGCTTATGCTTGCTTATTAAAAACAGTTTAGTTAAATTCATGTAACCATTTGTGTCAATGCCTTTACTTACTAATTCAAACTATACTGAAATATACACATATCTGTTGCTAAAGCTTCATTTACTCTAGAGGAATCAACTGATCTAGTTAAATTAATTTAACTAGTTTAATATAGACAAATCAGTGCAAAAATAATATATAAACCTGTCCTAAGCATTGGGAAGGATAGGCCATCAGTTTCTGCTGTGGAAACGATTTGCTTTTTAATAAGGATAATAGTTTAATGAAGGAAGTAAGCATTCATATAACACACTGAATAAATCCATTTTTTTGGTTAATAACAGCACTATTGCATGCTAACCTTGGAGAATTCAATTAAACTTTTCTCTGCTACGAGAACCAGTTCAGACCTTGACATTCCTGCCTGTATAGAGCCTTGCATTTGTCAAGGACCATGGGGATCATCTTTGCAGAGTTGTTCTGAGTACAAGGATTCATCATCTAGATATACTTGAAGTATACCACAGTAATGATTTTTCCATTAGAAACCAGGAATCTCTCCAATTCTTCATATTCCATCCTTGGTAAAACACAATATTGTGTCTAAGCTCTGAAGAGATTACATTTTCTTCTCTTGGGATCTTCTAGAGGATGTGATCTGTAGCTGAAGAGAAATAAAAAGTATGCCATTACCTGAGTTTTCTTGTTGCCTTTCATGTTTCAACATCATAACTTTTGTTGTGGTATCTGAACTCTGAGCTAGTAGTGCTTGCTTTTACTCCTACCAGAGGATTACTTTATGGGTTCTTCATTTCTTCCCTAAAACTTCCTCTTTGTCTCCCTTATACATACCACTTTCCAGTAGACAGACGAAAAACATCATCTGGTTCTGTTATTCAGATCATAATTATCTAATGGCCGTAGTTGCTATGGTCTCTAGTTTTTACAGCTTAGAAGCAGGGTTTGGTCTGACCACATATGAGGCATTCACAGCTTTCAGCTAAGTATTATGCAACAATCCAAAAGTGGGACGCTCACTTTACAGACATGTAGGAACACGCATTTGCCCCAAATAATTTGAAAACTTAAGTAGACAACATACCTGTAAAGAATATACAAGGGAGAAGAATGCAATACAAGACTTGCTGTTCTGAGGTGTGCAGTGTATTTTCTCAGGTGGTATCTGGTTGCTGTTGCTTTTGATTTCCAGGCTGCTGAAATCTACTTGTTCTGGAAGGCTGATGCTAGCAAGCTATCTTCCAGATTTAGAAGGCAACACAGAAAACAAAGCTTGGATATGTGTTTGGTGACAAAGCTCAGAAAGGTTTATTGTTTCCGAACAGTACACCAGGTGGTGTGATTAACAGTCAGTCCAACATACTGAAGCTTGTCCTTCACAGGTAGAGACACCACACATTATTCACACTCTTCTAGGTCTCCATAATGGAGAGGTCCGCAACCCATGTATTTGCATACCTCCTGTCTTGTGCCAGTTCTTTCATAGATTTCATAGACATTAAGGCTGGAAGGGACCTTCTAAAATCATCGGGTCCAGCCACCTGCCGAAGGGGCAGGAAGTCAGCTAGGGTGGCAGGATCCCAGCAAGATAAGCATCCACATGTTTCTTAAAAGCGTCTGGAGTAGGTGCTTGCACCACCTCTGGGAGGAGTCTATTCCAGGCCTTGGAGGCTCGGACAGTAAAGTAAACCATGCACTGTGCTGCTGCCACCGGCCGCACAGCTCTAAGCATGGCTTCACGGCGGCGGGAGGTTTTGGAGGCAGAGGCAGTCACCACTGGCAGCATGGTGGTGGCTGGGCGGCACGCAGCCATCTCCACCACCACCCTGTGCTGCACTGCTGCCGCCGGCCACACAGCTCTAAGCACAGCTCCGCGCCGGCGGCGGGAGGTTTTGGAGGAAGAGGCAGTCACTGCTAGTCAAATTGCTGGCATGGTAATACGCGATTTGACTACATGCGATTTTCACCTTACGTGCTGACTTTAGAACATAACCCCTGCGTAAGATGCAACTGACCTGTATAAATGCTTTCTGTCTTTCTGTCAACGTTCATCTCTACTTGTTTTGTTTGCCAAGTTTACTCACCTGCACTTTGGTTCTTGGTATCTTTGTCTCATTAGTGAGTTCTAATTTTTACATCTGTCCTTGAGTTTTTTAGCTGCTGTTTTCATACTCTCTTCCCTTTGGTTCATTAGTGTGCTTTTTGTTATTATTTTTCTTTCTTATCAGGTCATGAGGCCCCTTTCTCCTATGCTGCTTTTTGGCACCATAGCTTACTATATCTTAGCATAACTGTGGCCTGGAATCACCAGAACTCCTACACTTATTATTTATTCATTTTTAAAATCTGTTCTGCCTACCTGCTATTTCTGTGTATTTTAGCCTTTTCTGTTTCTCTCTCTCACTCACTGGTGTTCTGGCTCTCTGTGTGTCCATCCTGCCTCTTACCTCCCCTCTCATTTTCCCATTATAATCCAAGACAAAATGGCCCTACATATTCTAAACTATGTCTACATAAAGGGACAATCTACTGGCTGGGAATTGCTGGTTTTGTGCATTTTGCGCAGGGAGCACCATTGGCATGCTGTGACAGGGAGCCAGAGGCTCCTGCTAGTTTAACTAGAGAGTGCAGTAGCCAAGCCTGCAGTGTGGAGCTGCAGCACAAGAGCACAAGCTGGCCATTAGGCAAAGGGGAAACTCCTACGTGTGGCTGGGGAGTCACATGGCTGGAAAGGGTGGGGTTTAGAGCTATATAAACCCAGGGTCTAAGGCAAAAGGAGAAGTCTGGCTTTTCATACTGTGGGGGAAAGGAGTTTCTGGGAGAGAGGGACTACAGGAAACAGGCCCATGGACTCCCATGTTACCAAGGGGAGTTACATGGAGCAGCAAAAGGGGAAGTATGGCTAGTTGTGGGGTACTGACCCAGAGTGGGATAAAGTTTAGTTTTGGGTGTGGTTTTGGGATAAAGTTTAGTTTTGGGAGTGGTTTGCTTATATTTGTGTTGTGTTTAAGGCTAAGACTAGAGGGCTGGTTTGTGGCTATGGGGATGGTATGGAGGCCATGGGGACACCTGAGAGGTACCCAGAATAGAGCCCTGAGAAGATCAGAGACTTTAAAGGGACTGAGTGGCATGAGAGCAGCCTGGTTTAGGTCAGGCACCCAGAGGCCAGAGCAGTCTGAGAAGGCTGAGATTGAGCTGGAGCCCAGAAGCCAAGATCTGAGGTAGTGGACCTAGGTTGAAGAGGCAGAGAAAAGGGGGCAAAGCCATGAAGGCTGAATCCCACAACAGGGTTTGAGGCCTGACAGGGGCAAGTGTTGTGTTGGGGCTAGGGGGCCTCTCCAAAATGATACCAAGTACCATCTACAGGGCATGGCCATAGCTAGAGGGGAGGATAGAGGCCTCTCTCCAGTTGGTCACATGGAGCACAACACAGTTGAGGGACTGTAGGTCATTCTGGGACCGTGGGGCAGCCTCCCACAATGCTATAAAATCCATCAAGGAATGGCAGCCAAGTAAGAAATGAAAGGGTGCCTTGAGGAACCAGAGTGGGGCAGGAGTCACTGGGCCACCAGGGAGCATCACGGCTGCCCTTGTGGCCAGGACTTTGCTACACATACCCTCCACAGAACTGTGCTCACCTTATACTATGTAAAGACTTACCAACGCTAGGAAAATTTTCAGCTGAGGAGGGTTTATGATTTCTTAACACCATTGGGATTGGAGTGGGGCACAGGAACGAGCAATCTGAATCTAAGATGGATGGGGAATACATTACCAGATGGCTTTATAACTAATACTTTTTAGGCAGAACTGAGCAAGTAGCTCTCTGTAGGATTTAATGGACAATGAAGATAGAGATAGGCCCTAAATCAAAACTGTGTAGGTATTTAGACATGAAATTACACATGCAGTCTCATTGCTTTTATATTTCATGCTGTATTATATGCATGGGTTCCAGTCATGACTCGGGTTCCACTGAACTAAGACAGAAAGAAGGCAGGGTGGCACCTTAAAGATTTACTGTCTCATTTGGCTGAGCATGATGCCATCCATGAGTAGAAAGAAGCAATTAGCCATCTTAGTCTGAAGTCAGGCAGAAGGCAGGGCAGGGTTGTCTTCTGCCTGACTTCAAACTTGATGTAGCTCACTACTTCTCTACTCACTAATCTAAACATTATACAAGCATCTATGCAGATATTGACCCATATCCTGAGTTTGTACAAATCACTGATATATACTTGCTGAGGGTCTGGATCTTATGGTTTATTTGATGCCTTATTTGTGCCATAAATAAATTCAGATGCCAGTGACCACTGTTCACTACAAAGCTCACTGAGATTCAAGATGATATTCTAGAATAAAAAGGTTCTGTATCCCATTACCAGCTCTGAATAACGTTCAATCTCCATTATGAACTCAGAAGACAGACAACAGGCTTTCTTTTGATTTTTCCCATCCAAGTCAGAGATACCCGTAGGCTGGCTTTCTGTGCTATAGCCATAAAAATTTAAAGAATAAATTAATCTTCATAAACTGTGAGATTTAAAGTTTAAATTCAGAGAAAAATGTGATTGAAAAACTAGGAGAAGTCTGATTAATTTTTGCCAAAGCTTTTAACTTATAACATTTTGCAACCTTTTTATAGACTAACAGGGGAAAAAAAAATCAAACATGGAAGAAAATTATTCAAATAAAAAACAGGAGGAAAGAAAGGAAGCAACACATCACTTTTTAATATTTCAGTTAGATGTCTTTGGGGAAAACATTACAGAAGAGAAAATGATGGGTCAACAATCTTTAAAGAAGAGAAAATGAAATGCTATTTTAAAAATTCTTTTATTCTTGGTCGATTATGGAACGTTATAGAGCTTTACAGATGAAAAAGCAGCTGCTTCCACTCTTCCTGAGTGCTCTCTCCAAACACCACTGGGGTATACTTTTTTCTTTTTTATGTCACATTGATCTTTTCTTGTTCCTCCACTTCTAACATACCATTAGATTCCAATGAGTGCCTGCAGTGAACAAGAAGACAAGGTTCTCTTGGGTAAACCCTCATTAGGCTTTTAGTGATATGGCATACAGTAGAATAGACAAGATCACGACTTCCTCTTTAAGGATATTTTAAAAGGTAGAATTATTGAATTATTATTTTTAGTATTTGTACTAAAGTAGCATGTAGGAGCCCTGATATAGATGAGGGCCCCATTCTGACAGATGAACATTTATGAACATTTATGAACATTTCTTAAGCGACAATCCTTGCCTCTAAGAGGGATTCTAGGAGAATAAATGTATTATAGACAAGAGAGGAGGAGAGCGAAAGCAGCATTATCTCAGCTTTATATATAGGGAACTGAGACTCAGAAGAGCTTAAGAACTTTGCCTAAAACCAGCTCTAAAACTCTGAAATTAGGAAGTTAAGATCAATCTCCTGTTTCAATTAACTCACCTTCTCTCATTCATTATTGAGATGTTAATTCCTGCCTCCAGCTGACCCATGATGCTGCCTTCACTGCTAATACAGTTTTCTGATTGAGCAGTCTTTCTATTATATCTGGGAGGAGCTTCCCCTATGCAGCTACAAAGTTGATTTATTCTCTGTAAAATCTTTCCTTAAAAAGCTCTGTTATCATAATGCCTACAAAACTCCTGACACCAGTCAAAGTGCTGGCATGCTGATACCACAGCTATGTGATCAGCAATAGTCTGTGGTATCAGTGGTCTCATTGGCTAGGTACACACATTCAAAAAGCCTGAGGTAGAATTGTTTAGGTTACACAGATTTCTGTAAGTGGCATAGTTTAGATCGGGGCAGGCAATGGGTAGCCCCATCCCTTGATAGGTGCCCCGCCCACTGGTCACAATCTTGGAGCCAGAAGTCCCACCCCTAACCTCTGACCTTTCCCACCGGAAGTCCCTCCCCTTGCCCCTGGAAATATTCCTTTGGGGAAGAGGGTTTGCCATCTTAGGGACCCCTCCCCCCCAATTATATACTATAAATCAAACACCCATAGTTAATATATTTTAATTTAATTACAAATATATTTTTGTCCTGATTTGTTTGTGTTTGTGCTGTATATGTAGAAGTGATTGCATAATAGCTGCAAAATGCCTCCTGCTCCTTCCTGCCAGGGAGGCAGAGCAGCCCTTATGGTGCCACTCAATGCAGAGGAGGAGGAGGAGGACAAGGGGGGCTTGGCTCCCACTGCCTTCTTGTTGCTGCATTAGTGGCGGTGCTCACGGTGCCACATACAGGAGCGGCCACTGCTGCCACGGTGCTCCTGCCACACCTGGCTGCTGCATGCCGCCTCCCCACGTGGCTGCTGCTGCCAACCCCACACCTGCCACTGTTCCTGGGTGCCATGTGCACCTTGGCCTGGTGCGGGGACGGTGCTGAGTGGAAAGGCCACAGGGCAAGTGGTGCTCATGTTGGCTACAAATGTCCAACTCGGGATCCTTAAAATTCTAGTTTATTAGGCGGATTGAAACACTGTAATCATAAACCTTGGGGCTGGTCCCCACACACACACACATGCACACACATACACACACACAGTAGCAGGCTACAGAGTCAGGTATACCTATCCTACAAGTGCTGGAGTCTGTCGTTGAGGCTTCTTTCAGCGTGGTGTTATCTTCCAGAAGGGGGTCGCCGGCTGGTCCTTCTGGCTGGACAGGTCTGGTCGAGTTGGAGATCAAGAGGGCGCCACTGAGGGTCACTTTTCACTGCCTTTTATCTGTCCCTGGCAGACTTTGGTGACTCCCCAGTTTTCAGGCTTGCCCAATCCAGGGGTCATTGACCCTCGTGGGACTTCCCCCCCCCTCGGTGGCTACTGGACGGCATCTGTCAGCCCCAGGGGTCGTCCGCATGTA